GAGAGAGAGAGAGAGAGACAGGCATCATCAGATTGTGCATAAAGAACTTCCTAGCTCTGACACGTAATCCACGATAGCACCATGTCGTTTGCAATACAAACCATGTTAGAGGATTGATTCGTCCGTTGTTAACATTTTGTTGCTATTGTCTTTTTGCCTGAAAGCATATGTGAGGCAGCGTGATGGAATCATGCTCTCGTCAAAATAATCAAAGTGAAGAAACTTACATTTTTCCGCAGGTTTGTGAATTTTTATCAATTTTTTGGTTTTTGGTTCAATACCTTTCATGCCCATTAAAAAACTCATTTCTGTGTGGATTTTTCTGAAAAACGTTGATTAAAGGCACAGAAAATGTAAATTTTCAGTTACCACGGACTCTTAAGCTAAGGAAATAACTTACCTTTGGCGACCATTTTCTCACTAATTTTACCTCTGAAAACAGGTGACCCCCACCTCCTTCATTCACAAATATCTCGACTTGTATTCAAGATAAAATGAGATTTTTTTTCATCCAAATGAAGACCAGTGAACAAGCTTTAAGATGCTACTAATAACTCTACATGCCCCAAAATTGACGAGAGCCTGATTCCACCACGCTGCCTCACATATGTAGCAATAGGTCTGGTATCACATGTGAGTCTATAACATTAATTGGTCGCTTTAAGCACTAAGGTGGCTATCCCGAAAAATGCTGTTATGAGAAAATTGAAGGTAAAGTTTTTGCCCCTTGTTCAGTTTCTTTAAAATACAAGGAGAGTTTTCTCTACAACCAAACAAATATACACACCAATGAAACCAACTTCTCCTATAGGTAGGGCAATATCCACTTTTGGTGCTGGTCAAGATTTCTGGAAACCCCCGAAATCTATGTTAATCCATTTGTCCTTAAAAACATTAACTGTAGCTGTAAATCTGCCTGATATCACACTCTAGTCTAGAACCTTACTTGCCAGTCTGGGCGATATTTAAATTGTAGTAGGTAGTGGGGATCCCCCAGGAAATATTTTTTTATGCCCCGTTTGGAAAACAAACATAATATGTAGGATGGATGTACGAAAATGAAAATGTTCGCCTCTTGGCGATAAACGAGGGCGCTGACTATAAATGAAACTGCCCCCCTCCCCTAAAAGGTGGTTTTAAATGAAAGTGCCCCTCTCACCTAAAAGGTGGTTTTAAAACATCATTGACAGGTTTTACAACTTTTCTTCCTCTCTGTAGGTCTGACAGTTTGTCTGTGTGCCTGTCTTGCTTGCGTCTGCTCGGCATGATAGGGTTAATGTTCTTCTCGTCGTTCAAAGTAAATAAAAGATATATTGATATTCTATCTAGAAGGACGCGTCGTTGGGATTACTTCTGCGAGTGTGTGGGAGAGATAGAGGGCAGCGGTATCGTGTGGACCATCGTCTTCTCCTGCTCTGCAACAGGGTGGTCGCCCTTGATCAACTCCGTGGTCACGTGCTGGTCTACATCCTGTATGACGTAACTTCCGGGCGGGGTGATGTCCCCTATGCGGTGACGTTTGGCCAGGCGGCGTCTGACAGCCACGGGTCTGTGAGGGGAGACGGGTCGCTTGGCCGGGGTCATACCCTCCTCTATGACCGATGTGTTGTTGTTAGCGAACATGTTCTTGCCGTGTAGCGACATAGACTCAGTGGTGGTCGTGTTGTTGTTGTTGTTGTTGTTGTTGTTGCTGTTGTTGTTGGGGGCCGCCTTGTGCTGAGCTCTGCCGACGCCGACGCCGGTCTGGAGAGGGACATCGCCTCCCGCCCCGCGCGGCGTCTGTCTGTCTCCTACTCCGCGGAATGGCACGTATTGTTTAGGGGGCACCACCACAACGCCCCCTGCTCCTTTCCCCCGGGGACTCACCACCTGCACCTGCATCTGCACCTGCACCTGCGCCTTCTTGTTTAGCTGTTTGTGAGCGTGAGTCACCTCGGCCAGGTGCGCGTTGTGAGTTTTGTTGTCCTGTGATGAACCGCCGACAGTGGCAGCGGGGGTCAGTATAGAGCCGTCCATGGATCTGACCACGCCTCGTCGGGCAAGGAGTCGAGTGGCGTGCGTTGATGGAGGTCCGTGTTGATGACCTCCCCGCGCCGTGTGTGACCCGCCGCCATTTTGTGACGTCACGGGCTCCTCGTCGATATTGTTATTGTTGTTGTTGTTGTTGTTATCGCCTCCGTATCGCGGCGTGTGTAGCGGCGTTTGTTGTAGTTCCTTGTAGCTCTTCAGCCGGACACGGTCTGAGGTCTCCACGGACGCCTTACTGCTGTCCAGATCCGAACCCGGGAGACCCACCACTTCGTAGTGCCCCCTACCCCGGCGGTCACGTGGTGCGGCCGCCCGCCTGTGGGAAGATTCCAGAGATAGTTTATCTTCCAGACGAACCAATCGAAGCTGCTCCCTATCTCCCCTGTCCCCCCTCTCCCCCCTGTCTCCCCCCTTCTCCCCTCCTTTATCCACAACCGTCCTATGAGTCTGTCTCTCCGTGTGGTCACCAGATCGAGGACTACCCACACCTCTAGGGGTCACGCCGACAGAGGTCAAGCCTATAGAGGTCAAACCTATAGAGGTCACGGCCGTTGTGGTGACCCCTATGGAGGTGTTGCCCTTGGTGAAGGGTTCCTGCAGGAGGCGCCGCTGGAAGTGCCGGAGGGGCAGAGCACTAGAGTTGTGTCCGGCCTTGCTGTCTGGACGTGTGGTGGCCGAGGACTGGCTGGGGGAACCGCCACTGTTCAGCGTCTCTGTCTTCAGCAGAGGATTTCGGTTCTCCTTCCTGTCGTTCAGATCTTCTGGAGAAGGAAAAGAAGAAAACAGCCGCGGTGAGTTGTAGCCTTAAATACTTACTGAAGTCGTGAGCAACGAGAAGCGTACCGACACAATAACAGGCATGCTATACTGCAAGGAAAATTGTATAGATTTAATAATAAT